GAACAATACTATTATCAGTTGTCTCCCTTCAACATAATACTGCTTCTTTCATCGCCCAGCTCCTGACTTTGGCATATAGCTGTACGACGTTGACATGAGCGTGGGGAGCAAATGTTCGATCTAGATCCTGTGATCATTATGTTCATCCTCTCTCCTAAATATCCATACTAGTGTCCACACACTCACATTCTCCAAGATTCTACCATTCATATATCGATTTAAATGATTCAAGCTAAATTATTTGTAACTAATCAAGAGAGAAATACTTATCATAAATAGTGTCAAATCTGGCAACTGAATTGAGAATGGTGAGTACTGTCAAAGTGCACACATTCAATCTCTTTTGATGTAGAGACAATGAAAGCGTGTAAGATTGAAATCTCAAAGGTTATTATTCAATTGATTTTAAGTTTATAGTTTGATATATTTCCGATGAATATGAAGATAATAATTATTCTAATATTTAAGATCCTTTATTTTGTTGAATTCGATGCAAGGCAAAGATAGAGAGGCTCACTATCATCTTTAAGCGTCTCTGTCGATAATATTTTTTTTGTGAGTAGAGATAAAATGATAAAAATGACTTTATTCTTTCGTGTGATAAGAGAAACTAGGAAAAAAATGCATGAAAGTGAATCTCTTTAGGGCGTAAAAAATTTTCATTTAATGGGCCTTCATGCTCGATGTTGCACAATATCAATGCGATCTTGGATTGTGAACATATGAATGTCTAAAAACGTTATATCTAACCTCGTACCCATATATTTTATGCGGAATCGAATATTCAACATTTCAAAAAATAATAACATTTATGTTTATAAATACAGACGGTTAGAAAACATATATTAGGATCAAAATTAGACAACACGTAAGGGAGACTAATATTCTTCAATATTAACAGTCAATTAGAGAAAAAAAAACAATATTGACGCACTGAAAAAGTTCTTTACACTGTCTTAGCTAGACTTGCAATTTTCGAGTCTTTTTTGTAAAATGGACAGATATTCTAAAACATATTAACTACCAGGCTTCGAAAAAAATCACTCGGCTCGGTCCGTCTCAAGCTGTTTTTTCTATCGGGTCGGCAAGCCTCAGCAATAAAAAACGGTGGGTTTGATGAACCGAACATTTTGTTGGACAATCCGGCCCTGACTTCATCTCTATTTTCATCACACTTTTTACATCAGAAAATAGAACAAAACTGAGGGTGGGGTGCAGTTGGATACGATGAGGTGACCCATAATACAACTAATATATCCATTGATCTCATCAACAGCCAGTTATCACATATTTTACAATTAACTGTAAAACCAAATCTTTGCGGGCCTTTTTTCAAGGAACTTTTTAAATAAGCTTTCATTCTCTGCCTGATTCTAGTGGAAAACTTACAATGGACAATATGCTTTTACTTTTCCTTGGATCAACATTTTTTGTGCGGTAGGAAGAGTAAAGATTGAATAGTGTACAAGTGAATCATGCTTTTAGGTGTTTTGTGTGCAGAATAAAACGAAGGAATATGCTTGGAATGAATTCCGCATAGAATTCAATTCAAATGTATTTTAACAAAATTCAGAGAAAACAATCTATCTGACTACTTCCAAGTTACTAGAAATGAAAGAGAACAATACTAGTTTTGAAATGGGATGTGGGTTGGTGTCGGTGTATGCGTATGGGGTGTTACGTGTGTGGGTGCAGTTGAATCTGATCAGATGAGCCATACCACTACCAGCATATCTACTGATCTCTTGTACATTCAATTTTGGCATATTTTACTCTGCATTGGGTAACAAAATATTTGCCAGTCCTTCTTTACGGATTTTTTAAAATAAGCTTTCATTCTTTGTCTGATTGTAGTCGAAACACTACAATCGACAATATGCTTTTACTTTTTCTTGGATCAAC